GCTTTCCATCCTAAGACTGAGACAATATGGATGGAGGATGGAGAGGGGAAGAAGAGCCAATGGGCTGAGTTGCGGGCAATATGGCTCATGATCACCCAGGAGCCCTCCCCTCAGCTCTGTGCACTGACAGCTGGGCCGTCTATTGGGGCTTGACCCTGTGGCTACCAACATGGTACCATGCCAGCTGGATGGCTGGTCATGGGCCCCTTTGGGGGCAAGAGGTGTGGCAAGATCCAAAGTCCTCTGATCAGACTAAGACTGTTACTGTATATCATGTGACTGGCCATTTGCCACTGGCATCCCCCGACAATGATGAAGCAGACACATTGGCCCAGGTGCATTGGCTAAAAGGAAAGCTGCCTCTGATGTGGCCCAATGGTTACATCAGCATTTGTTGCACATGGGGCAAAAGACAATGTGGGCTGTAGGCCATTGGTGGGGCTTGCCATTGACCTTTGAAGTCTGCAGAGCCCAGAAGGAGTGCCTTCTGTGCTCTAAGGGGGACTTACACTGAATCCTGCAGCAACATGGGACAATAATAGAGGGGCCAAAACCCCTTGTCAGGTGGCAGATAGACTGTATCAGGCCTCTGACCATATCCGTAGGATATTGGTATGCCATGACTTGTGTGGACATGGCTACTGGACCTTTGGTTGCCTTTTGTGTACATTGTGCAGATCAGCAAATGATCAGAAGGGGCTAGAGGGTCTCCTTGCAGCCTATGGTTGCCCACAGGTGATCGAGAGCAATCAAGGCACCCACTTTACTGGACATGCAATAAAAGAATGGGTGTAGCAATTAGGAATAAAATGAAAGTTTTATGTACCATATAACTGTACTGGGGTAGTCATGATAGAGATGTACAATGGTTCGTTGAAATCTGGCCTGAAGTCAGACACCAATAGTCTATGGCGCTGGTCAGTACACTTACAGACAGTCTTACAGAGTTTGAATGAGAAGCCCTGAAAAGGAGCCTTGAGCCCTGTGGACATGCTAACACCTTGCTGCCTCTCCTATACAACTGTATGTGCAAACCAAAGAGGAATTATTGAAGCCAGGATATGTCCAGCAGAGAAACATTCTGCTGCCAGCCTCAACTGCATTAAACCCTGGAGATTCTGTTGAGTGGACATGGCCCTGGGCATTTTGACACATGGACCAGCAATGGCTGGCCCTTCTGGCACCTTGGGGAAAAGGCCTGGAAGCTGGCCTCATGTGTATTCCTTGAGTAACAGCAGAGTGGCTCTCAAAGATCACGGTAGTGTACCCAAAATGTCTGGGAGGAAAGAGCATCTTATTGGAAAGTTTTGTTTTATCTTTATGGCCAGTGCCTGTACCTCCCGTAGCCCTATACTTGACCCATCTGTAACTCCCACAGGGAGGGGGGGTAAAAGGCTGGTACACTAGAGCAGGACGAGATCCCATTCCTGCCACTGTCCTATCACAGGGCCACTCTCTGGCATGCATCCTACCTGATAGACAAGATTTGTCTATGCTGTTGTCATTAAAACATGTACCTTATCGCCCTTAAGGTTAGTTTCTTCTACAGTTATTGTCGCTTGGACCCACCCCCTTGCTGAGTGTGCCTGGAGCTCCCTCCCAGTTTATCTGCTGGCCTCCTGTGGAATGGGTGAGCAATGGGCTTAATCTGCATAGGACTTTGAACCTAGCCAGACCCTCTGGCTTGAGGATTATCATGATTTTATAGCTCTTGTTATTGTATGTTATTAATCTGATTACAGGGCTCCAGTTTTCTCACACAGGGGCCATTGCAGAAGACGGGGAGTGAGTAGATCGTGAGGTGATAATTCTGGAGGGGTGCGCTGTGGGTAAAATGGCAGTATTTTCAGACCATCTCCATATCAATAGGTGATTACAAGCAGAGTTGAGAGTGGGTGCACACCTGGACCAGAGAGGTTTTGTGGGACCTTCACGGGGGGTCAGGAGAGAGAGACATGGGTAAATGGGATCAGATGGCTTCTTGTAAGCAATAAATGGGTTTTTCCCACTTTACTTTTCCCTTTACCTGATTTTGGCTTCAAAGGCCTATTTGCCCTGGGCTGGGAATGTATTTTGCCCCCAGAGTTACACTATCCAATATCAGCAATTTTTATAAAAAGCTCAAATATTAGTCCAGATTCCAGAGATATAAGTAAGGCTTTAATGCCATTTTTCTAGATTTAAGAACACTTACGGTTTGGGTTTGAATCTGAACTGAATATCCTAGAGTCTGTATGGAAGTGAGTATCTTTAGTAATGATGGGTAACATACATTTCTCATTGTTTCAACAAAAGATGAGGAATTATTAAAAAATTCCATTTGATACAACCTAGATAATCTTAATTTAAAATTTTGTTTCTTTGATGTCCCTGTATCATTTATCTTGTGGTCTGAAATCTTTTTCTCACCTTCCCATTGTGTGGTTTGCTGATATTTTTAAAAATTACCTTTTCTTCTGCCTCATAGTTTGACTTGGATTTTTGTAATTTACATCAAATGGTAAAATATAGACAACTAGCCATGATTAGAAGATGAATGAATGAATGATATAATGAGTAGCTATTTGATATTTCAACCTCTGGTATGATATATTCCAATATTGCTACATTTCACCCTTCCAAGGAACATGTATTGTATTGGAGAATAAAAAAATAAAATTGAATGTAAGAACAAGGCAGAGAAATGGAGATGCTATTTTGGGTTTGATGGATGTTGTGCCAGGGACAATATGGCTGGAAGTATAGTAATTCCTCCAAATAATTAGTGACAAATATCATTAAAAACCTGTTGATAATGGGATTATGATTTTTTTGAACTTTTCCCTTAATAATAAAAATGAACATAAATGAGGAAAAGATATATAATACCAACATTTAGAAACCTGTTTTAAATGCAAAGCTTGAGATATTCTAAGCTTTCGGTGTTTGTGATTGAAATGAAAACAAGTTGACTGTATGGGTGGCCAAGCTTGTGTCCTTCCCAGATCTTGTAGAATATGAAAATGGTTTCTCAGAGGCAGTAGAAAGTGCACAATCTAAATGACACACTCAGAGGTCCATTTGTCCTGTCAATCAGCCTGAAGTGTCCTATTTTCTGGAGGTGCGTGATGAGATATACTGACTTCAAAATAGCCTAGGTGTGAGAATTTCCTGTTCAACCCAAGTGACACATTGATGAGAAATCTACTTTTTCCACTCTTGCTTCATTCTGAGTCTTCACAGGACAGTCTGCGAAGGTCACAGATATTGTTTATCTTGTCCTAGATTTATGTTTTTAAATTTCTCCTTTTATTACTCAGCCGTAGCGGGGCTCTTTAAAGAGAGCAACCTGGCCTCCCCACTAAAGGATGCATGGCTTTCTGGCCAGCAGGAGGTATGTATCATGACTCTACTGTCTCTCTGCTAGTCCATCTCATTCAGTGGAAAAGCAAAAAATGCTAGAGGCAATGCAACTGAGGCACAGTTAATGTGTAACAAAATCAAAGTAGAAATTGGTGTTTTTATTTGAATAATTCAAAGGTAGTAAACAACCATAAAATATTAAGTATGTTGGAGCATTTCTTAAAGTATTCAAATTATTGCCTACAGGAAATTAGTCAAGAGACTACACACATGTAGATTTAGGTTCGTAAAGCAATATAATTTAAGGTGAAATCTACAAACATCATGACAAGGAACATTTCGTTTGGGATTTTATAATTAGTACAAGGTGTTTTTATATAGTAATATGTTAACTCATTTGCTCTACCTTTACAAATAGATCCTTAAAAAAGAATCATTACATGATGAGGGCCAAATATAATTCCTCATGCTTACTTAGAATAAAAGCAGTTTGGTTTTTAATAAAAATTAAGATGAGTTAGCTTCCATGAAATGCTAATTTAAACTTAATTATAGACAATCAAAGGACTTTTTAACAAATTGAACAAACATTGCAAAAAAGATGTACTATACTGATTAAATAAATTCCTGCTTAATAAATTATTTCACAGGGCCTAACTAATATGAATCGGAAATAATAACATGGAAATTGTGACTAAGACAGTAATTAAAATTTTATGAAAAAATAAATATCAAATATTTACTAAGAGTTTATAAGTGCCAAATTGAGTGCTAAGTTTTAATAAATTACATATTATATTATTTCCAGTTTAGGTTAGTAAACTAGGTTATCAGATACTAAGCATCTTTTTAAAGGTTACGCATTATAACTTTCAAAGTCAGAATTAATTGCAGGTCTCTGGCAGAGAACCCATTGACAGAATTACTAAAGTCTATTATCTAGTTTATTACAGTTATACAACTAAAGCAACCTTCAGTAACTCTGACAATCATAGGTTTTTTTTGGAAGTTTTAACCAACAGTGTTCTTCCACAAATGAGCTATTTTTATTTATCATTTATAAGTTCATATCTTAGCCATTAAATCGACTATTATTTACTTTCATAAAATATTTTTAATCTTCTCTGCTTTTTTATTTTTAATATTATTTTAGATTATGGATACTTTAGTGTGTCATGTAACATTTTCTAGCATATGTAACATTTCTTTAAATTTTTAATGATTTCTCAGAACTCCTCAAACATTCAAAATAAAAGACCATTTAGTAATCCCTTTAATAAAAAAAAGTCACTGAATAAATATAATTTAATGCAAGAAATTAAGAGGCATTCTAATGTTAAAATATTTCTTTGGAATCTGACTTGGAATTAATGAAGATATTAGTGTTCATGAACTTAATTCCTCCCTAATTTATCACTTTTAATTGATAAATTGATATATTATTAATTCAGCCAACAAATAATATACTGACAAATGTGAATATGTAAAAAGTTGTATTATACCATGAGGCATTTATTTAAAGCTCTAAGGAATTTAGAAACAGACCTTTAGATTCTTCAACTGTGAAATGATCACTAGGACTCACTCTCTACCCCACCCAGTTTTACAGAATGAGTTATCTCATCATCACATACACCACTTATTCTTAAGCACACTTACCTTAGAGCAGGGTCCCTGATATCATACAGCTGCAGAGATGGATAACCAGAGAGTAACTTATGCAGAACTGAATGTGGCCAAGTACCCAAAGAGGCAACAAATAAAACCTAAGGGCCCTAAAAGCTCCATTTCAATAGCTGAGCAGGAAATAACCTATGCAGAATTAAACCTGCAAAATGCTTCTCAGTATCTCCAAGGGAATGACAAGAACTACCACTGTGAAGGTAAGACATTTAATGGCATGCAATATAACTGTTCTGGGGTGGGCACTGGGGTGCAGAGGTGTGGGGAAAGAGTAGAGAATAAGCTCACGTATTTTTCATGTTTGAGGATCAGAGCTTGAGTTTGGGATACAGTATTCTAATAGGAAATCGGAGGACTAATTTGATTCAGCATTTGTTGGAAATTGTAGCCTTTAACCAACAACTCATGGAGCATCATAGGCACTGAAATAGTACTGGGATGTTCTCAGAAAAGATTACAACGGTAGAGTCTAAGCTTATGCATATGATTCCCTGTGCGTGTGGGTTCTTCTGTGAGGAACTGTCTAAACAATTGTCTCCTTCTGTCCTTTCTCAGTGTTTCCATTTGTCTCCCTGCAGATGTGCCATCATCTCCAGAGAAGGTCATTGCTGGGACTCTGGGAATTGTCTGCCTTGTCTTGATGTCCACTCTATTAACAATGATTGCTGTTACTTCCTGTAAGCAAATTTTTCAATGATTTAAGGGAACTTTTTACTTAATAATTGTCAATGCCTCTAAACATTTCATAATATTGCAGAATACAACTCCTATGTAAATGGATGCATTTTGGAATTTGTCCAGGTATAAATAACATGATTGTACAGAGTGTTATATGTATTTTCAGATTTCCTAACTCAAAGATAACTTTTGGGAGAGACCTTATGAGTGATACAAATTAATTCTTGAGATTGTCTAAACCAAATCTTGTGTAAGATGGAGAAATCTGGTCCTTTAGGCTTTTGAAATATTTTCCCCCTAATTCTCTATTAATTTTTCTTGGTAGTATCAAATTCATTGCAGATTATTCTAATCTTAAACCTTTATTAAATTTCACACTAAGAAACTAAAATTATTATGATTTATTTAGTCCATTATTAATGTTTTGTTGGTATTACTTTAATTTTCTAGCTACTACTGATATCCCGGAGCGGAACAGTTCAGCCCTGAAAACAAGGATCCAGACAGGTGCTTCCTGAGGCTCCAAGTTCTGATATTAGTACAGTTTCCATTTTGTCTCCATCTCATGCTGGGCAAAAACCTATGAGAGTAGATTTTTTTGTGGGGAAATGAATTACAAAATCTTGTAATATATGTTCATCTACAATGATTATAGGAGAGTGTTCCCTTTTATAAAACAATATGAAATAATGTTCTTTTAAAATCACCAAACCCATTGTTGCCATTGGCTACTTTTCTTCCTACTATAGTATGATTTCAGCTAAGTTTACCACTCTAAGTGGTTTTGTTCTGTAACTCTCAGGACATGTGCAGATGGATATTTTTGTTTGTGCGTTACTTTATGTGGGCACATAAATTAGGGGATGGGAAGCTGACCCTTCTCTGTCAGTGGGAGGGTGTGTTTGTTTTATATGTAGCAGCCTGTGAAGGTGCAGAGATGAGCATATATGCTTATAATGATGCAAATATGTAAGTTAAACCTCATTTTTTTATGTAAATTGTTTTAAGATAATGTCTCATAATTTCTCTTCAGCATCTCATTGTGGTCGTTGCCCAAAGGAGTGGTTAATATATTCGAGTAATTGCTATTACATTAGTATTGAAAGAAAAACATGGGAGGAGAGTTTGATGGCCTGTGCTTCTAAGAAATCTCACTTGCTTTATATAGATAATGAAGAAGAAATGGTAAGATTTTGAATGTTTTCTATACGTTATTAAAGGCTTATTTAGGTCAATATTATATTGTAGAATTCATCCCTATTTTGTTACATACTTGTAGTTTATTTTGAAGTCTGTTACTATTTCATTCTCTGACTCGGATACTTTATTAATATTCTCATTTGATAATTTCCAGTTCCTGCTTTTCACAGATAACCATGCTCTATAAGGGCTTTTTGTTTAAAATAAACATTGCTCTTAATTTTATTACATTCCAGGGAACTGAACACACCATGATTGTGCAGACTGATCCCAAGTGACTAGGACCATGTGCTTACATATCAGGTCACGGAGCGGGGTGCCCAGCCCAGCAGGGTGCCCCTGGGTTTGCTCTCATCTCTATGAGGGGACCTCTCTTCCCTCCTTTTCACCCACTGTCCTGACTTCTGATATTACAGAATCTCTGCTCGTTTTTGAACTTCATACACATGGAATCACACAGTGTACATTTTTGCTCCTGTCTTTTTTCAGACCCATATGATACGTTTGCAGGTCATCCATATTCTTGCTATTTTCTGTAGTTTGTTAGCCTTCACTGCTGAGCTATGTGAACATAACACTCAAAATTCACTCTAAACAATCAGAGTCTCCTGTGAGCTACGTGTCTCATGCCCTCAGGGACAAAAAGGCCTCCTGGTCCAGTACTTTAGTCCAGGAGTCCCCTTTGCTGTCCCATCTCCACCCCCATCCTGGTGTGTTTGGTGGGGGGAGGGGAATTACTGCCTCTGGCTGCTTATTGTCAGCAGGTTGCCTGAGGAATCACCCTTGCAAGGACTGCCTGGTGTTTCTGGACAGGCTCCCTCCACAGGGAGCAGGAATGGCTTAGCTGAGCCAGTTCCTATTGCTACTTGGGTGGTGGGAAGTGGCAGGCCCGGTCACTTTCTTCTGCTGGGTGGGGGACGTAAGAGGCCCTGTCACTCTGCTGTTCCCTAATGCTGAGATCCCAAGTCACTGCACCTTTCTCTTTCCACCTGTCAGAGTTCTCCTTTACTTGTGTCTGTCATTAGTTCCAGCATTTATAGTTGTACTTAGGGAGAAGCAGCAGAGAGAAGTGAGTCGATGACAGCTTGTCTAGACCACTGGATTCCCCCAATACAGAGACAGATCAACTAGGGTCTTCTAGTTAAAGACTGGGTCAGACCCAGAAAACCAAATGTTTGGCTTCCATGTCATTTATTTCCTCAACTGCAACCTCTTCATTTCCTTCTAAAACCCAAATTCTGAGAAACACAGTAGAAAAATTACACTGATTTAATCATAGTATCTAGAGAAATGCATGTCACAATGTCTGGAAACTTATTTAAATCCTTGCTGTTAGCTTTGTCAATGTCGTTAACAATTAAATTATGTGAACAGGATTTCTCCTTATTAACGTAAGAAAAATGGAACTACTAAGTATACATGTTTGAGTTAACTTCATATACATGTGAAAGTTTTTGGCAACCTGAAAACTTTATGTATCTTTAGTGTCAGATTAGTATCTAATAGTTTTATTACATCTGCAAATAAAGGTTCCTATAGAAGAATGCACTTCTTGCATTAAAAAAAATTTTTTTTATTACGGTATCATTGATATACAATTTTATGAATGTTTCACATGAGCAAAATTGTGGTTACTACATTTACCCATATTATCAAGTGCCCCCCACATCCCATTGCAGTCACTGTCCATGAGTGTAGTAAGATGCTATAGAGTCACTACTTGTCTTCTGTGTGGTACACTCACAAAGAATGTGACTCCCCTACATTATGTGTGTTAATCATAATGCCCCTTAATTCCCTTCTCCCTCCCTCTCCCCCTCACCCTCCGCACCCCCTTTCCTTTGGTAACTGCTAGTCCCTTCTTGGTGTCCATAAGTTTGCTGCTGTTTTGTTCCTTCAGTTTTGCTTTGTTGTTATACTCCACAAATGTACACTACTTGCATTTTTAAAGAAAGATAAAAGCTTTCATAATGACTATTTCTTTATTTTGGTATAGAAATTAATGAATTCCTTATCACTTATATCGTGGATTGGAGTCTTTCGTAAAAGCAGTGATCATCCGTGGATGTCAATAAATGGCTCAACTTCCAAACTAAAGTAAGCCTTTTGAATTATGCTTAGAGGAAGAAAAATATAAAACAGAAAAATTTAGAATAATAATAATATTACTAAATTTGTTTTAGTTGAATTAGGGAAGTGAAGAATGGTGTTAAAAGTTTATGAAATGGTGATATAAATATTAAAGAATGGATACTTTTTTCCTAATAAGCAACTCTTCCTAATACTATATGAAAACATCATTATCCATTTTCGAAATATTCTTTTGCTTCAGTTACATGGAAAATGCTATTGTTTCACGTATTGCCCATGCAATGTAACAGAATTATGCATGTTTATCCATTATAGAATAAAAGAATCATCATCTGGGAGACATAAATGTGCTTTGTTACACTCACGTGGCCCTCAATCAGATATCTGTGCATCTCCAAATGCATATATTTGCAAGCAGAAGCTTCAGGATTAAAACATCTGATTTTGGATCCCGTTAGGCAACCTTCTATTTCATGAAATGGAAATAACCTCATGTTTGTATAACTCTTAAAATGAACTGTAGTACTTGTTCTAATAATGAACAGTTTTTGAAAAGAATTTATTGAAATACCATATACACACCAAAAATACAGATGTCATTGCTTTTCTGTCTGGCTTATTTTTTACTCAGTATTTTATCTGTGGAATTCAAGTTCTTTCAAAGAATGCATGTTGTGTGAGTCCATTTATATGAAGTAAGAAGCACAGGCTCATTACAGAGACAGAAGGTGGACAGTAGCTGCCACAGTCTGAGGGGAGGTGGGAAGAGGCCATGACGACTGATGGGTGTTCCTTTGGGGTGATGAAACTCTTAGATTATGATAGGAGTGATGGGTCGACTCTATGAATATACTAAAATCTACTGATTTGTACAACTTAAGTGCGTGCATTTTATGCTGTCTAAATTCCACCTCAATAAAGCTAAAAAAGAAAAACTCCTCGGATTATGTTTAGGACTGCATTTAATCTTCATTTGTAAAGATTAGTCATCTTTATAGTATGTACTCTTCCAATCAATACCATGCTTTATCATTCCATTAACTAGGTTTGCCTTAACTTCTATTATAGTTTATATTTTTCTACAGACAAAATATGGGTATTTTTACCTTACAGAAATATGGGTACTAGGTTTTCTTTAATTTCTATTATATTTTGTGGTTTTTTTCTATTGAAGTCTTACAGATTTGTAGGTATTTCAATTATGTTTTGTAAATAGCCCTCTTAAAGTTTTAGTAATTTTGCTGCTGTAAGCAGAAATACAATTGATGTGTACATGTTGATCTTATACCTAATGACTTCACTCATTTTATGCATTGATTCTATCATTTCTATTCTGTCACATATATATATCCTTCTCATTTTTTTTATAAACACCTATTTCATCTGGAAATAATCACTCTTTATTTCTTCTTTCAAGATGAAACTACTTTTTTTCTTGACTTATTTTAACTGGCCAACATTTTATTTCCAATGTTGAATACAAGTCACAGTACACGTTTTATATGAATCCTTCCCTCTTTTATAGGAAAATAGTTCATTATTTCATCTTTAAGAATGTGGTCTGTTTTAAGGTTTTTTCCATTGCACCTTTCTCATATTAAAGCAATTCCATAATATTCCTATTTTTAATAGATGGTATGATCAAATGATGTTACATTTTTATTGTATTTCCATCAATTGGAATAAGAAATGTTTTCTCTTCTAATGTTTATGAAATAAATTACCTTTATTTCTTTCAAATATAAGCCAATCTTGCATTTCTGAAATAAACTACAATGCTCATTCTATACTGTCCTTTTTGAAAAATCAGCACATATACTATATTTAGAGTAAAATGTTTTTCTTCATCATGCTCACAGGGGTTAGACTGAGTTTTCTATATAGCTATGTACTTGAGAAGCTGTTATTAAGGCTATATTGGGAAGCATTTCTCTTCTTCTGCTAGCTAGGAGCCTTTGCTAAAGGTACAGGCATGCCTTGTTTTATTGAGTTGCACTTTATTATGCTTCACAGATACAGTGCTTTTCTAAAGTTGAAGGTTTGGGGCAACCCTGCCTCGAGAAAGTCAATTGGTGCCATTTTCCAACAGCATTTGCCCACTTTGGTCTCTGTGTCATATTTTAGTAATCCTCACAACATCTCAACTCTTTCATTATTACCATACTGGTTATGGTGAATTGTGATCAGTGATCTTTGATGTTACTATTGTGATTGTTTTGGGGTGCCATGAATCACACACATGTAAGGCAGTGACCTTAATCGATAAGCACTGTATGCGATCTGACTGCTCTCTGACCCCCATTTCTCCCTGTCCTCAGTCCTTCCTAGTCCCTGAGATACACATGGTAAAATCAGACCAATTAGTGCCTCACTGCAGGCCTCTAAGCGTTCAGGTGAAGGGAAGAGTTAGCAGATGAGGCAACCTTCATTGTGGTCTTATTGCTTTGCTATATTTGATCCCTTGATTACTAGTACAAATACGTATGTTAAAATGTGAAACTTTATCACTAATATTGTATCTGCTTAATATGCATTTATATCTATGTACACATAATTTATTTCCTTCTACTCTTCTTTCTGCAAATCCAAGTATTCCCTAGAATAAAGGTTTGTTGTTTAGAAGATCCTTTAGGTAGTCAGTTGGTAATTAATTCTGTCTATTAAAAAAAATTCTTAGGGAAAATGAATTCACTTTGCCATCAAATTAAAATGATATTTACACTTGTCATTAACTTCCAACTTATTCACCTCTCTTAAAGGATCACATCTCTCTTGAAGGTCACTTGCCCTACAAGAATGTAGGTAAATTAAGACATTTTCAAAAACTACTAAAAACCTCCATCATCAGCAGGCTTATGGTGCAAGAAATGCTAAAGGAAAGAAATTCTTTGGATTTAGGGTCATAGGATCAGATGGAAAATTGGCTAGTTGTGAAGGAAAGGAGCACGAAATATTGTAAATATCTGGGTAATTACAAAAGACTATTTCTGTTAGTTTCTTTAGAATATGCATGACAATTCAAAGCAAAAATAACATTGTTTTCTTGTGTTTAAAATGCAGGTAAGATGTAATTAATACCTATGAATGATACAAAAATAGAAAGGGGAGGAGATAAATGAAGCTGTGTCGTACAGGTTTTCTTTAATTGTCCCAAATTAATTGTAACTAGACTGTGGAAAGTTAAGAGCCTATATTAAAGTCTTTAAAATAACCACTATAGAGAAAGGATTAAAGATGGCAGCATGAGAGGTGAGACAGAGGCCTTCTCCCAAAACCACATATAATATGAAAATACAATTAATACAACTAATCCTGAATGAGCAACAGGAAAGAAAGCTGTGCCAGACTGCATACATCTGAAGAAAAGAATAGACCTCACAGAACAGGGTAATGTAGCAAAGCCATGATCTGGTGGGACCCAAGCCCTTCCTCCACCTCAGCTCACCCACGGGAGGAAGAGAAACGGAGTGTGGAGGGAGTGGAGGCCTGGAACTGCTGAACACCCAGCCCTGGAGATCTGCTCTGGGAGCACGAACCTACATCGCATGATCCTCTGGTGATTAGTAGAGTTGGAAAGCTAAGACAGGCAGAACACTTGGAGAGACTGATATTCCAGTTGCTTGTAGAAAACAGGGATCCATATATGGATGCTCCAGGACAAAAGAAAGGCAGTCTGAGAGATTTCCTAACAGCAAGAGGGCTGCTAAAGGGGCAAGAATCACACAGAAATTACTGCTCAGGAGAAAGGACAGGTGGACAAAATTGTCTGGGTGTACTCTGCCCAGCAGGTTGGGAACTTGCAGGAGCTTAAGCCGATCCATCCCCCTGATGGCTGTGCAGCTCCAAGGCCCCCCCACCATGATACACAGCCTGCTGCACCTTCCTCCTGGCCAGCCTGCATCTGGCTTGCAAAGCTGGCAGCCCCCGCTCTGGTGTCAGGTGAGTCAGCGGGAAGCCCCATCTATGACAGCTACAAACTCAAAGCATAGAGGCTTATACCTGTGTGTTCGGCCTACTGGTTCTGGCAGTAGAGACAGGCATAGCAGCCGGAAAGCAGGAAACAGCTCTTTCCTCCACCCAGGCATCAGAACTGCTCCCCTGAGACCCCCTGACATCACTGCAGGGGCTGAGCACCTTCAGAGAGTAGAGTTTCTGGGCTCTAGAGGGTGCCACATACAAAGATGAAACATCAAGGAATCTGGTTCAAACCAAAATCCCACGAACACCAGAAAAAGGTTCAACTGAAACTGAACTCATCAATATTCCTGAAAGAGATTTCAAAATAAAAATAATAAACATGCTCATGGAGGTACAGAAAAATATTCAAGAACTCAGAGACGAATTCTAGAAGGAAATCCAATCATTATGGAGTACAGTATCAGAAACAAAACATACAATGGAGGGATTTAAAGGCAGATTAGATATAGCACAGGAGATGGTAAATGGAATAGAAATTAGAGAAGAGGAATACAAAGAAGCTGAGGCACAGGGAGAAAAAAGGATCTCTAGGAATGAAAGAATATTGAGAGAACTGTGTGGCCAATCCAAGAGGAACAATATTTATATTACAGATATTATAGGGGTACCAGAAGAAGAAGAGAAAAAGAGATAGAAAGTGTCTTTGAGGAGGCAAATGTTGAAAACTACCCCAATCTGGGGAAGAAATAGTCTTTCAGACCACAGATGTGCACAGATCTCCCAACACAAGGGACCCAAGGAAGACAACAGCAAGATATAAAATAATTAAAAGGGCAAAGATCAAGGATAAGAACAGACTATTACAACAGCCAGAGACAGAAAAAAGATCACATACAAAGGCAAACCCATCAGGCTATCATCAGACTTCTCAGCAGAAACCTTACAGGCCAGAAGGGAGTGGCATGATATATTTAATGCAATGAAGCAGAAGGGCCTTGAACCAAGAATACTCTTCTCGGAAAGATTATCATTTAGATTTGAAGGAGGGATTAAACAATTTCCAGATAAGCAAAAGCTGAGAGAATTTATCCCACAAACTGTCTCTACAGTGTATTTTGGAGGGACTGCTATAAATGGAAGTGTTCCTAAGGTTGAATAGCTGTCACCAGAGGTAATAAAACCACAGTAAAAAAGTAGAGCAGCTAATTACTAAGTAAATGCAAAATTAAATAAACTAACCCCAAAGTCAATCAAGGGATAGACAAAGAGTACAGAATATGAAATCTAATATATAAAAAATCAAGGAGGAAGTAAAAGGAGGAGAAAAAAAAAGAACTTTTAGATTCTGTTTGTAATAGCGTATTAAATGAATTAAGTTAGACTACTGGATAGTAAGGAAGTTACCCTTGAACCTTTGGTAACCATGAATCTAAAGCCTGCAATGGCAATAAGTACATATGTATCAATAATCACTCTAAATGTAAATGGTCTGAATGCACCAGTGAAAAGACATAGAGTCACTGAATGGATAAAAATACAAAACCCATCTATATGCTGCCTATAAGAGACTCACTTCAAACCCAAATACATACACAGACTAAAAGTGAAGGGATAAAAAAAGATATTTCATGCAACTAATAGGGAGAAAAAAGCAGGAGTTGCAGTACTTGCACCAGACAAAATAGGCTTCAAAACAAAGAAAGTCACAAGAGACAAAGAAGGACATTACATAATGATAAAGGGGTCAATCCAACATGAAGATATAACCATTATAAATATCTATCCACCCAACACAGGAGCACCTACATATGTGAGACAAATACAAACAGACTTGAAAGGGAAAATAGAATACAATGCATTCATTCTAGGAGACTTCAACACTCCACTCACTCCCAAGTACAGATCAACCAGACAGAGACAAAGTAAGGAGACAGAGGCACTAAACAACACATTAGAACTGATGGGTCTAACAGATATCTACAGAACTTTACACCCTAAAGCGGCAGGATACACTTTC